TTGGGGCCGCAATAGGGTTAGCCAAGGCGGGTGCCAATGTCATGGCGGAGAGCAGCATAGCTGCTATGGACTTGGTGGAAGGCATGATGGTGCTGTTAGAATGATCAACTAAGATAGCCAAGAAGGATGTGAGAAGAAGTGCTTGAGGACTGAGCTGGCCAAGAGATATCTAAGAGATGGCTAAGAGATGGCTTTATAGAAATTCTTCAGGAGTATTCCTGGATACACGGAATACAACAGTACGAACAAGTTGCACCAAGCGGCTGATTGATATCGTTGCATGGAATAGAAATCTTGGCTTAGCTATGGTCCATAGTATCCCTACCCCTGAGGGTAAGCTCGTCGAACCTTTCCATGTTTTCCTCTAATCCTTTCACACTATCCACTTTCGCTACTTGTTATGCCCTCCTACAAAGTCAGAATGCTTTTTGCTCTACAGTCCAAAAGTAATCCCACCTATGGTCAGGGTTCCCCTTTTAGCCTAACGGTTCTCCTATCTGCCGAACAAAAATAATGTCCGTTGTAAATGTTCCGGTGGACTTTGCAACTACCACGTGTGCCCCAGAAATATTCCGTGTTCTTTATATTCCATCTTGGCTCGCATTGTTTAATCTCAGATGATCCAATGATTCCAATCACACGTATGGTGGGGCGGCCCAAAAGATTAAGGTGGCAGTCGATAATGTTTCAAAGACTAGAAATCTGTGGGGGGTGAGCGTGCAGGAAGACTCGGGCACTCGGGAACAAAAGAAAAGAGGCATCGGAAATGAGAACCACTATCCATCTCTCCGATTAAATTAGAACCATAATTCAACTACAAATGAAACTACTAAATTTATTATATAGAAAAGAAAGGTTGGTATTCCCATTATTCTAGACTCTAGCTACCCAGGGCACAGCTAGGTATCACAAAATAAATACTCATATACAAACAACTAGAAGCGGAAAATGATTCATGCAGCCCGAAGAGTCGGGTAATTTATGGTATGTGGCTTGGGAACACAATGGGGAAACATGCAAGTTACAGGGTACTAATGTACCCCAGTTTTACCATTCCATACCCGGTGACGGACCTGTCTACCATACAAACCTGTGTGCAAACTCCGGAGAAGATAAAGACAGCCAGTCAGAAAAGTTAAAAGGTTCAAAAATCGAAAAGTTCATCCCATCAATCTTCAGAAGTGGGAGAAAAAGTACGTTGGCTCAATTAGGCAAAGTAGAAAATGCCAAAGCAGGTTAAGCTAAGCTAGGGCCCATGTAGTTCGATAGGGGTTTATCCTTCAACACCGCTCGATTCGAAATTCAAGTACCAGCAAAAATGAGATGACGTCTCCACCGTCCACATCAACCCGTGTGGGAGGATTAGCAGCGATTATTTCCATTATCAAAAGTTCAAAACTATCTTGTCCAAGTTGTCTTGCTAAGGAAGTATGGATCCCCTGAACCTAGATGCACATACCGCAAGACGCACTCAACAAGAGGGCTAATTGACTATCTACAGTAACCGTGCACAGCTGTTCGTCGGTTTCAAAAATCACACCAAAAATGGGCATTTTGCCCTATTTATATAAATAAAAAGAAAATATTCAAAATCATTAAAATTAGTTAGAACTATAAATATAGCTTTACAATATAATAAAATAACTAGAATTAATAATTCTTTTGATTTTAAAATATACGGATATTATTTTTTATAAGGTTTAATCTAAATCAAAAGAAAAGTTCTTGATTTTTGCTTGTTTTACTAGTAAATTTCAGTATTTCCAATTTGTATTAACTTTCTATATAAATATCTTAATAAATAAAAATCCTAAAAATAAACTATTTAATTTTTATTAAATTTTAATTGAAAATGAATAGGATTATATAGAATTTAATAAATAAAATTTATATTATTATTAAAAAGTATATAGATAATGTATATGAGTTTTGGTGTGATTTTGGTGTTCGGCAAACAGCTGTGCCCTAGTACTGTAGGAACCCGGCACCATGTGATCAAGACGGGAAAATCGGAACATCAAACACGCCAAAGATCAAGCATCTTTCAAGATCATGATCTTGAAGGGTGTGATCACACCTTTATTGCATAGTCAAATGGCGATTAGAATTGATATGATGAGACTTCTGGTCGAAGAGATTCAACAATCTAATGGAGAATAAACTTTCACATATTTCTATTCCTATACAAGTACGGAAGATTGATTCAAGATAATTACGCAATTACTTAATATATACAATTTTGAGAAGGGAACGGAGATTTTGAGATCCCAGTATTTTCGTCTTGATGGAGCCCTAAGTTTATTAGCGGCGGAGCTTCGTACCTACTCGTGCGGCCAGAAAGTATGCAACTCCTGCCTCAATAGGATCAAGCCACTGTAGGGAAGCTTTCTAGTGCTTAAAAGGAGCATAAGTCATTGAAATTTGTACTGAAAGTAGTAGGGCTTCAATATAAGCGAGTGATTTAATTGAATCAATTTTCCAAATCTCCATTTAATATAGTGGGATTAGAAAAAGCAGTGGATTCCATTGGCCCATTGAAGCCGATATAGCGTATTTAGCGCCGGAGTTGCATACTTTCTGGCAGCACGAGTAGGTACTCTTAGTCTTTCTGACTACACAAATAACGTGGTTCGTCACGGAACTGATCAACTCGGACTCGCATAAGACTTCTATCTTCGCCTCTAATAACTCCATAATTTCATATTAGATGATTTAGCTTTTTAAAGCGGTTGTAAAGTTCCGGTCCCGAAATCGATGTATTGGATTCGTCGAAGCGAATATCAATCATCCCCCATCAACGTAGAGTTCTTTATTATTGCCTTGTAATCCTGTATGTATAGAAACTGTGCCAGAGAAGAAGAAAAATCAAGACCAAATCTCATAAACCTGATATAATCCCTCGCCACCCCAAAACTATCGAATTTCGAAACTCGATGTAATATTACATAACCCTTCACCTAAAATAGATCTTCTTCTAAGGATATCGACCCTTGCATCCCACCGGCATCTCATAATCCAATCGAAGCTCTTTCTCAGCCGATTCGGATCAGAATTCGCCTCGTTCATTATCAAGGAGGCTCTCATGCCGTAAAAATGTACACAAATCCGAAGCTAGATGTGTATACTGCAAGTTGACAAAGTATAATATGAGAACTAACCTACTTTTCTTCTTGGCGACGTTGTATGCTTTTTGACAGCACGAGTACGAGTATACCTACCTTCAAAAAGGTATATTTGTGAGTAGAAAAGAGTCTAGAGCTCTCAGTATATAGGAATATACTTTTATCTGATAAGATTTATACTTTTTCAAAAAGTAAAAAGAGCACTTGTTAGATATGCCAGGGCAAAAAACATCCCAGTATTCATCAAGGTGGTAGGTGCACTTGTACAGCGAGGAATGGTTGAGTAGGTAGGTAGGTAGACATAAGTAACAGGTATCTATCCAGCTCGTCGAGTGTACTAAAGCGATGACCAAAAACGAGGGATAGGTATTAAAGCAATCGACGCTGCGGTACTTGTGGAAAAACTGTTCACAAAGCGCGAACTGGTAAGTACCTAAGGAGTGTTTAGAATATATCAATTCAACAGATTCCAAGGAATGTGATTGGATACCATACGACATGTTGTTATGGGTCGATGTAACTCTACATTTAAACTTAATGTTGTAGGATGGGATGAATGCAGAGTAACCGGCTGTGATGGGGGTATACGTCAGATGTGATGTGCTAGTTCATGAAACCTTGACACTCTCGGACCCTCGGCGTGAACGGGAAAACGGGAAAACGGGACGCTAAACTATAATCTAGATTCTAGATATCGAGGGTCTTTTGATCTGACAGATCAGGAGGATCCTCGATGCTAAGGTCAAGAATGACTAAACTTCGAAACTCAAACAACCCTCAACATCACTTGTATTTCGCGCTGACGAATTTGATCCAAAAGTGCGTTGACAATAAAATAAAGTTCGTGTTTCTATCGATTATTGACTTTCAAGTCTTGGTGTCTCTAACTTTGACAATGAAAAATTGGTTTATTGACTAATTCTTCGATTTTGAAAGAGGATCGGATTTTGACATCTCGTTTAGATTGTCCACGCCAAGGAACGACGGCTACTCGGTTGAGAGAAAGACTGGATTCAACTACTAACGAAACCATTCAATACCTCTATTGTATTGTCCCCCTCCAATTGACATTCTAAATAGCATTGTGGCTAAAGACTATCCGAATTCTCCCACGAATAGGCGGTCCTCTGGCTCAATGGAACCTATCACAGCTACTCAAGAGATCGGATATCAAGTATCCCATCGATCCTACGCTTCCGCCTACAAAGCATCTCCTCTTTCACTCCCACAAAAGCCCATATCATATACAGCTATTCAAGTGTTCTAACATACGATACAAGAGACTCAGACGTACTAGTGAACCTTTAAGCCATGCACATATTCTATTTCATATCACGAAGTGTCCACAGAGACTCAAGCGATAGAGATTGACAAGTTCAAATTAGGATTGAAAAGTACAAAGGAAAGGAAAGAGAAGCTATGAGTACGTACCAATAAGATAGGATGTCTGCTGATACTTTTCTTTTTAGTTGCATCTATCAAGTCTAGTAACAGTTCAACTCAATCTAGAGATATATCGTTGCTTAGCTTGAGGTTCGAGGTTTGGGGTCTGTTAGAAACGGATCAATATTATGAGTGAGATGTGAGGAATTAGCTGATAACATTGTATTCGGTGAAAATACTGAAAGAGAATTGGTGTAAAAAGGTACTTCAACATCCGTTGTGCAAATATTATAATCGTATGAGATTTCATCTTGTTACTCTACTGACAATGCTATGATGGAGTGTTTGTTGTTAAATATTCTATAGTCTAGATATCAGGTATATCAGCAAACATTTACCATCCAATATACAACATTTTTTGCACTCTGAACCCTCTTTTCCTCTCATCCCCCTCTCACATACCTTGGGCCTACTCCCCTTCCTACTCAACCCCTCTTACTCCCCATCTTCCAACACTCTCCCCTCCGCAAAAACCATCATTCTCTCGCACCCCCCAATCATCCCCTCCCTATGCGCAACCCCCAGCACCGTCGCCCTTTCAAACTCCTCCGCTACAACCCTCTTCATCGCCCCCTCCGTCTCCACATCCACACTCGCACTCACCTCATCCATAACCACAATCGGACACCTTTTCTTCACCCTCTCTATCCATCTATACCTAAGCACCGCGCGCGCCAGACAAAAGAGTTGTCGCTGCCCATGCGATAAAATATTCGAATCAAAGCTATCAGAAAGTCCCTCGATGTCAATCACACCCGGGAGAACAAGTCCCAATTTCTCTAAAACACCTATAACTTCCACATCATCCTGTTGCAGAGAAAAGGGATCGAGATTCTGGCGAAGCGAACCATTGATAAAGACTGGATCTTGGGGTATAACAATCATACGTTCTCGCAGAATCTGTCGCGGAATCTTGAGAATGTCAATTCCATCGATCGTTATTGATCCCTGCTGTACTTCCAGCATATGCAAAAGAAGCGCGACGAAAGATGATTTTCCCGCGCCAGAAGCACCGCATATACTGATCTTTTGACCTGCGGGAATATCAAGATTGATGTTTCGCAAACATGGTTCTTGATCTTTGGAATACGATGCTGTTATATTTTCAATTCGAATTGCACCTCTACTGGGCCAATCTTCCGGCACCTCTATCTCTCCATCTCTTTCTCCCTCTCCAATATCCTCATCTTCTTTTCGATTCTCATCCGGAGTCTCACGCACAAACGATCTGATCCTCTCAACCGCCCCCACACTCGTTTCCGTCGCCGTCCAATGAATAATAACCGCCGAAAGCGTAGTATTAAATCCCATAATATTCACCAACGCCAAACCTACTAATCCCGCATCAGCGGTATATCTCAATTTCACCACTAGCGCGACGAGCAGAATCGCTAATGTGGCAACTAAAAGATCGATGACAAGCATCAACCATACTTGGATGCAGTAGAGTAAATAAAAGGGTTTTTGGGAATTGTCTAGGAGCTTTGTATGGCGTTTTTGCATGACGGTGTGGAAACCGAATGCGCGAATGGTGAGGAGTCCACTGAGAGTTTCGAGGAAATGTGTGTGAAGGGGTGCTTTGGATGAGAGATCCATGAGGCGGATTTGTCGAGAGGTACGGAGATAATATTTTTGGAGGAGGTAGACAAGGAGGAGGATAAAAGGGAGTGCGAGAGAGAAATAGGAGGCAGAGATACAGATGAGGAGAGCTTGAATGAGGGATGTGAAAATGTTGTTAATGACGATTAGAAACGCGATGGGGAGTTCGGAGTCGAGGACCGAGAGGTCATGACTCAAGCGGTTGATAATTGATCCCGTGTCTGTTTTCGTGAGGAAGTAGAGAGGAGCGTTGGAGATGGTGGTGAGAAGTGCGGTGTGTAAGATGGCGGCAGATCGGGGTATCATTTTCAGGAGAAGTGTACTGGTGAGGATCATGAGCAGAAACATGGAGGTTACTTCGACAGCTATAAGTATACCGAGATAGAAACCATTAATTGAATTTCCATGAATGGTAATAGCACTTGTCCAGAATTTAATCCAGAGTTCTGAAACTTTAGTATGTGTACACACAAGCTCAAGGTTGAATAGAAGTGGCTTAACTTACTAGGAAACTGCAAGAGTAAAGAATAAAAGACCATTATCCCCATCCACATTCCCATATTCCACCATCCTAAACTCTCAAAATAATATCGATAAGTCGCCCAATTCCCAATCGGACGCTCGAGATCTGCACTCGCAATTTGTCTCGCTGTGTCATCATTATCTTTCATATCCACAGATTCAGACTCCTTAGACGTGTCTGTCTCTACCTGGTTCATTGCAAGACTAGACACATATCCATTCTTCCTAGTTAGATCATAAAACGTTCCTTGTTCGGCGACTGTACCATGAATACTCAGAGCGATGATATGATCCGCATATGATAAACGATGTGCCGCATGAGTAGCTAGTATAGTCGTAATACTCAATTGACGAAGTAATCCGTGTCTACCGAGTAAGCGAGTAAAAATCTGTTCTTCACTAACGATATCCAGACCACTGAATACATCATCCAACATCAAGATTTTATGACGGGAGTAAACTGCTCGAGCAAGTGCCTAGCAATATTAGTTTCCAAAAAAAAAGACAGATCAGTAAAGAAAATCGAACAGACATACAATCCTCAACTTCTGACCTCCCGAAAGCGCAGCTCCTCCAGATCCCGCAATAGTATTATCCCCCTCTGCCATTCCTTCAATATCATTCTCTAAAGCACAAACATGCATGACTCTTTGATACCATGCAGATTCATAGTCGCTAGTGCCAATGATATTATCTCTAATACTACAATTTTGAATCCAAGAGGTTTGATCCACAAATGCAACTTGAGAGTGGTTGCTATATATGTTTCCTTTTGTGAAAGGAATTTCCCCTAAAAGACCCTTTAGAAGACTAGATTTCCCGCTGCCAATTGGTCCGATGATCATTGTCAGAGTGGCGGGTAGAACGGAGAATGACACATCGGTAATTACTGCAGGGGACTCAGTTGACCAAGCGAGAGATAGATTCTTCACAGCAATCGTTGCCGATGATTCAGAACCATCTTCTCGTACTGTCAGATTCTCAAGCTCAATCTCAGAACCCGCAGATACATTCCTAGACAATATCCCAAGCCTGAAACGACCACTTGATAAGCCTTGCGCTTGCGGCAATACAAGACGATGATCCCTCTTCGCAGCCGAAGTAAGGAAGCTCTCAATACGATCTAAGCATCCCACCGCAGCAATAAGTGGCGGAACCGCAAACACGATCGCTCGAATGGGCGCAACCAGCAATGCAATAAGCGACAAAGCAGTAAATGCTGATGAAACATCCAAAGCTTTCCCATTCACCGAAGCCGCGATAACGTATATGATAAACGCCGCACCGGGTGCGAAAATATCAGACATATTCCCGAAAGCAATCATAACCACAAACAGCCCCCTCATCTTCAGAGAATTCCTGATCTCCTTTTCTCTAAGTTGAGAAATCTTACTCGATATTTTCTCGCTAAGACCTAACATCTTAACTCCCTTTATGGATTGCAGCATTTTCATCGACATATCGATTCTCATCTGAATTCTATCCATCCAAAGCTTCTGCGCAGCGCCCATATATTTAGCCATGAAAAACGGGCCTGAAACCGCTATGATTGTTACGAACAATGGACCTAAAAGCGCAATGCCAATCTCTCTCTGTAGTAACCATATCGCTAGTGCGATCTCGAGGGGACTAGCCCAGAGATTATGGATTGGTTGTAAAGCGACACAGATACGTTCGACATCTGAAGACATGAGAGTCACTGCTGCGGATTGGTCGAGATTTGGTAGCGAGAGTTCGAGGGTGTGAGAATAGATGGCGCTGATGAGAGCGCCTCGTACCATGGTTGTCATGCGATTGGCTTTGTGTTGAGATGCGCTTGCTGTAAGGGCTAAACCGATGTATATGAGTCCGGAAGCGGCGATTAGACCCCAGCCATTGCTGGATGTTTCAGAGTCAGGATTACTAACGAGAGAGACAATTTTGTTGATAAGGAAGGGTTGCATGAAGCGGAAGAATGTTAATGCTAGACGTGGTGGAATGGATGCAGTAAGTGGTCCTAACATTGCTCGTAGCATTACCCACATCAAAGTGTGATTTTGAGGATATTTCGTGCCTATACATCTATTAGTATTCTCTGACAAAACCATTACTAGAAGTGGATTTCAGACGTTTTCTCCAATATTTTCTCAACCTATCCTCACAAGCATCCGACAACAACTCTCCATCCGCCACGAATAAATCCTCGTCCCTAACCACTCCTTCAAACCCCAACCTAAAAAGTGGATTCAACCACCAAAACAAGCTTCTCGCAAACAATCCACTCGTACTTTCTGGCGAAAGATACTCATATCTCTGGAAAAGAATCTTCCTTTTCCCCTTCGCTTCCAAAATCAAAAGCAGGAGTTTAACTCCCAAGATAGACGTCGAAATCGCGTTACCCGCTACATTATCTCCGCGAAGCCACCTTGTTCGCAACTTTGCGGCATCAAACGGTAACGTTAAAAAGAGATATGCGTTAATAATCGAGCTGGGACGAATATTTCTACTATGTTCAAAATAGGATAGAATGCACAGACCGAGAGAGGCGATGAGTGCGAGGAGAGCCGCGGGTAGCGAGGCACGTGTTTTAAAGGAGGAGTGGGAAATCGCGATTACGTTCACGATTTGGAGGATACTGAAAATGGAGAGGAGGATCTATTTTGTTAGGGGAAGACTTAATGGGTCGGATACGCGAAACTTACGATTTTGGTGGTGAGAAGATGACTTCTGATTACTTTTTGTGGGGATTCCCATAGGTGCTGAATTCGCGGTGGTATCAAAATTAACAAGAAAACCGAAGGTATGATAGAGAGAATGGTTTCTTCGAAGAGGAGTGTGAAATCGAATGTTGTTTTCCCTGGGACCTTGTAAAAAGGTCCGAAGTTATCATCGTCCACAAGACTAGTTTCGTTAAATCCTCTCAGTTCGAGAGGTATGTCTGCATAAATCTCCATAATGAGGAAGAATGATCTCAAGCAGGTAGACTAGTTAGTATCATTGACTATCCAAGGGTTTTATCCTATTCTCCTCGTGTGGAGACTATTGTCGATGAGTATTGAGCAACGAAAATAATAGATTGCAGCAGGAGGCTCATATATATCCTCTTCGAAGAATCATAACGCCACAAGCATGCACACGACGTCTTCAAAAGCAAGGTACCAACGAATCACATCATCTCTTCCTCTACTTGCGCAATCTCGAATCCAGAAACCGAGACAAGAAAACCGATGCCTTCCTCGCCAACAGAAGAATGCTCATCAATTCTACAAAAAAAACCATCTGCTTTCGTATCCCTTATTCCCTCCCCGGCTCTCCAAGCTAGAAGCCAAGATAAAAACCCAATATCTTTTTACAGGCAGAACAATTCTCACCAACCACATTACACAAAAAATCAAACCCCAAAATCAAAAGGTCCATCCAGCTTCATCTCCAAACCCAAACCTGCAATGCGTCGTCAACTAATGACGACAGCCTCACAAACAGGCAACCACATTCCAGCAGGCATCCATCTTTTCCTCTTCCATCTCCCCACCAAATCACCAATTTTTTTTTAGATGTATTCAAAACCTTACTCTCATCACATAAAATAGCCTAAATATCTCTGCATTTATTAACTCCCTCCTAATTTCCATTCCTCAATACCTCCACCCACTTCGGATGAATCTCATCGAATCTCACCATTATCACCTCATCATATCACCATCCAATAAGCTCCCTCCAAGCACCAACTTCCAACAAATTACCACACTATACTACATAAGCACATAAGCGAGATGGTCCCTGTCATTATGTATAGTGCTCGGTGCGGGGTACCGAGTGAGTACACATGGATAGGTAAGATTATCTATCTAATGATTTCCCTCCCTAACATATATAGTATATTACAATTCATCCCCACTCCCTACTCAATTCTTAGTATATCTAGATCTAGATCTAGATTCTAGCATATACTCCTGACTTTATATAAAGTATGATACTACAATTATCATTCTCAATATTCTAGAATTCATAGAATATGTGTATTTATAGTCAAAATCTCTCACTTCTAGCTTTCACCTCTAGCTACATTCTCCTTCTCTTCTTTCTTACATTTCTTCATTATAATCATATAAAGAGTCGAATGTTTCGGAGCGTAGCGAAAGAAACTTATGCGTCGGATTTTACGGAATTTCTATATAGTGTATATTGATTATGTTTCTATACTCAGGAATTCAATTTGTATATAGTTATATGATATCTCTTATTACAGATTCAATTGTATAAAGAATTGAGAAAAAAAAACTAGAAACAAAGAATAATAAGCTTTACTTTCAGTCTTTTGATATCTAATTTAGCGATATTGAAGCTATTCGAAAGATAATCTGCCAAAGATACTCTTTTTTAGGCGCTCCGAAACACTAGCGAGCTAGCTCGCCCCGAAATTGAGATCAGGTGAGTAAGTAGTAAGTAAGTAAATAGATAAATAAAAGTAGATAAAAGTAGATAAAAGTATCTAAGTATCTACGTACCCTCGTAACCCTCATATCCTCAATTCCCGCAATCAAATTTATTATATATTATACGTCGTTCATCACACATTATTCATATATCATTCATCATATAATAATTCAATTCCAATTCCAATTCCAATTCCAATTTCATCCCAACCACAACTACAACCACCTAGCTCATTAACAATAATCCCATCTCAAATTCTACACTTACTAGGTATCTACTTATGCCCCCCCCTTCCCCCTTCCCCTTCCCACCTCAAAAAGAAATACTTAACTACTTGACTACTTAACTACTCAAATACTAGACTCGATCTAAACTCAATAAGCGAGCGAGCAATACTTACTTTCACCCTAATAACTCAAATATAATCTAAAACTAATCAACAAACTAATCAACAATCAACCAAACTAATTAACAATCTATAATCCATAATCTAACTAAAACCAACAATCAAATATCAAATAACAAATAATCAAATAAGCAAAAATCAATAATCAATAATCAAATAATCAAATAATCAAATAATCAAATAATCAAATAATCAAATAATCAAATAATCAAATAATCAAATAATCTCATAAACTTATTACTCTATAAATCTAAATCTAATAAATAAATACCTTCTTTTATCTTAAATCTTAAGAATAACTAATAAACTTAAAATTTAAAACTTGAAACTTGAAACTTAAAACCTAAAACCTAGAATCTGAAATCTAGAACTTAAATATAAGAAAAAGAAGAAGAAAATATATAATAATTAAAGTCCTCCCATCTCCCATCTCCTATCTCTCATCTCCCATCTCTTATCTTCTAATTCCTAGATTCTAAATCCCAAAGAGTTATATAAATCCTATAAAACAAATATCTATATCTATATCTATATCTATATCTATATCTATCTATATCTATATCTATATCTATATCTATATCTATATCTATATCTATATCTATATCTATATCTATATCTATATCTATATCTATATCTATATCTATATCTATATCTATATTTCTATCTATATGATATCTATATCTATATCTATTTATTCTAATTAATCTGTATCTCTATTTCTATTCATTTATTCAGAAACTCTCTATATATAAACTCTCTAATTTAGTTCAATTCAATTCAATCCTCCTCTTCCCTCCCCTTCACCTCCAAGCTCCCCTCCCCTCCAACTCCCCCTCCAACTACCCTCCCCTCCAACTACCTCCCCTCCACCTAACTTATCTCATTATACACACATACACAAAAAACTAAAAAAAAAATAAGAATCAAGATCAAGATCGATTTCTTCAAGAAATTCAAAAATAATGAATATATTACTTAAATAGATACCTAGATACTATTGATTCGAGAAAGATACGAAAGACGTAGTACTCACATATTAGTAGGTTTTAATGTCTAATTGTATTCTATCTAAAGAGCTAAGCTATATAGGAAAGTAGTAGGCATTATATAGATACTATTGAAAGAGCTATTCTCTACGTAAGTAAAAAAACAGGCGGGAATTGACTACCATTCGAAAGACCTTCAACAACTAAGATCTCTTTTCGATATAATATTAAATAATAAAACTATTTACTATCAATACAAAGAAGACTCAAATTTTCGTTTGCTTTTTTAAAATTTCAACATTTAATTTGAAATGAATTTTATAATCTATTAAAAAAAGTCCTTTGAAAAGATACTCAATTTCCGTCTGTTTTTTCGCTTACGTAGAGCTAGTCTCTTTCGCATTCGCTTAATCCCTTTAATATAGTAGTCATTGTATGAAGTCATTCCTTTGAAGTGAATACCCTTGTTCACATAATAATCATCTATATAATCATTTATATAGTTATAGTTATCATTTATATAATAGTCATCTATATAATAATCGTCTATATAATCATTTATATATCACGCTATATACGTGATCGCGGTCGGCGAAGACGAAGTCCTACCTGTACGCAGTGCCGGCTATAAACCTAAGGGTATTACTACTAAAGAAAAGGAATTGTGCACCTCGATCAGATGGAGTAAGAGTACTCAAAGCCAACAGGACTTGTACGATAATGGAATACCTTAAGGCGAATGAACAAAACAGTTTTGTGAAGTATACAAAAATGTGTGTAGTGATTATGAGTAAGCAAACAAGTAATTATAATATATATATTTTAGGATAAACCACTGAGCCGAATATGCAGAAGAATAACAAGTGATCTATCTATTAGATGCCTTTTAGGAGATCTTGATATAAAGGAAATACAAATTGCATAGGGTATTATATGTTGGGTGGTATATAGTAAACAATAAATAAGGAAATACTTTGAATTAATCTAATTGAATAAAAGATTGGATTGATAATGATTAGAAGAAGAAAGGTTTTAAAAAGATACTCGCCAATGCTTATAGTATACTCTTTACATTTTCGATAGATTTGTATTTTTCTGGATATCTGAATTTTCATTATACGATTTATTTTTCTTTTATTCAATCAGGATAGGAGATGAAGAGCTTTTTACAAAAGTAGAGCATCTTATCCCCTTACTAAGCTTACTCCTTATTTTTATAAACAATGATTAGAGTAACTAAACTCTATATTCTTTACAATAACAATACCATTATCACGGTGCGGTCTGGGTGCTAGGTAAGATATATGATATTCTACGAGGTTGTGCAGGAGGAGGCGGGGAGGCGCCGACTATATGGAGGGTGGTTGCCTAAGGCATCCACCTAACTACGTATTGAACCCGTGACAATACTTCTCCTCAAGGGCTTGCTTGTTCCAAGCAAGCTAAATCCATTGTGCAGCTCATTATTATACAGTTTACCTGTTATGTTTAAATTAAATGGATAACCAGATTTGCTGAATTAATAGCTTAAATGCTTTTTCCTGGCTTGACTTTTCTTTCGCGAGTTGATTTATAAGCTCCTTGCGTCTCCTTTGGATATTCTAATATCAATAATAGGATTGCTTTTGCTTCAGGATCGTTCAATACCTATCTCGATGGATCAGGCTTCTTCAGGTATATATAATAATACTCTGTTAATATTTTCTTGTTCCCTTTTAAATCTGCTGCTAATTACCAAATAGATATATAATGCTTTTATTTAACTAAATAATGATAATCATCTTTCTTATAATTATCTATTACTCCTTTGAAGATCTATTTCTATATTAGTTCATTTTCGCTATCCTTCCTCTTGAGAATCCTATTCCTAGTAATAGTTGACTCTGATTTGTTGATTGTAGTTTGTTCTGGAAAACGTATTTTATTGATTACAAGTATAAAAACGAATAATGAAAAACGGGAAATATATAGACGTTAATCGGTAATTAAATAAGACAAGAACGGGGATAGACTTTTATAATCTCATACAGCCTTATCCACCAATCATCCAGCTTCTTTGCCTTTCAAGAGGTTTTTATATTCTTAGTGTTTACAAATACCTTTTGATCTATACAATAGTATAGCG